CATTCCTCGGGATCGAAACAGCCGGGCTTCCGGCAGTCCTTGAGCTCACCCTGCCTGTTCCCATCCTCCACCGTGTGTACTTATGGCAACTTTTTAATCTGGAATATTGTTTACAAGTTTCTTCTGAGTGCCTGGAGGGAAAAAAAATACATTGGAATTATATTCCTGAGGGTTTTAGCCAGAAACAATCCTTTATCTTGTTAGTGTGGTCAATTTTTTATTCCCAAACTCAAGTTATAGGGACTCTTCAGTTTCAGGAATTGTTTTTAATAAGCCTGTCATGAAAGGCCACAACAGTAAGCTCTGTCTTTCCTGAGATGTCTTAGTGCAATTAATCCAGACATGGGGAAGGACGGAAGAACGTTCTGCTGACTGACTACCATATCCTCCCTCCTTCATTGCAATTCAGAAAACATTCTGTGACCACCAAGCAAATACAAATGACTAAAACAAGCTTATCCTCTTTTCTTATATGTCAAATGTGATTATGATAGAATTTCTTTGCCATGACCATCTCCAGTCTGGTTTGCCAGTCCTCTTCAGACTAAAAATATGAACAGTTATGCAACAGCAGAATTTGGGAGAGGGATTTTAAATTTTCTCATCCACAAATCTCACTGCCATTTGTGGGAGTATTAAGAAAGAGCTTGCCAATTACGTGTACCATTCTCACTCTGAACTCAAAAGAAAAAAAAAAAAAATAGACCAACCCCCAAACCCCACAACACTGCGAACTTCAAACAGATGCACAGAAAGTGGCTCAGTGTTGTAATTTCAAAAGCATTCAAGTACCTTGTGAAACATTTTCAGAAAATTACCTACAAAATAGGCAAGACCTGAAGTCTAAACTGCAGGATGAACTCTGTAAATAAGAGAGAAAGAGGCAGCTGACATTTAAAGACACTCAAAGGGCTAGAAGGGAAAACAGCAAAGTATACTACTCTGAAAGTTCACTACAAATAAAACATATTCAGTATTTTACTTAATCATCAGCACAAATTTCATTACATAATAATTCAATGCTCTAAACTTGAAGAAAAGTCATGCAGCTGTTATGACAGTGTGAACCACAGAGAAAATCAAGGAGAAAGAAAATAAGAAGAAAATAGATATAAACTCATTTACTCATTATAAGAAAGCATTTATACCTTAGCTCCCTATATTCATATCTAGAATGTAGATTTGAAAGCATTTTAATTTTACGTAATGCAGAATTTATGTGTTACTTTGTTTTGGTTTGGTTTTTCAGCCAATGGGGCATATCCACTAATGCAGCTCGCTTTCTTTGGAAAAGTACTCTTCCTTTATGCCTAAGCAGTTGAGGAAAAATATATACATTTCCAGTTTCACTTTCCTCTTTCTCCACTGAGTCATATTTGCTAGCCATTGCATCAGCATTGTTGGTAAGACATGTTAGGAACAATTTTATTACCTGTGGAAGACTATCTGCAATAATTAAAAGTATGTTGCTTTGCTTAACAAGTATAAATGGGAAGTTCCAGAAAAAGTAATCTAAAGATAGAAAGTATATTTAAAGTGGATTTAAATTTGTGGATTCTCTTTCAGTTCATAGTTCTGGACTTTACAACACATAGGAAAAATAAGTTCTGAATATTACTAAAGTACTAGAAAAGAATTTTATATAGCTGGACTCACCAAAGTTTTTGTCTTGATCATCAGCCTTCCCAGAGTTAGCACTGTAGGCTTAAGTAGGAAGGTTTTATTTCTAGTGGTGACTGCAATTGCTGCATACCCAACTAGGACGTTAGATCCGGGTTTGAGAAAAAAAACTCCCTGGTACACGTAGGTGCTTTTGGAAACACCTTAAAACAAACAAAAGCCATTGGAGAGGAGGAGTTAAGGTAGATGTTTATTTAGAACTACTGAAATACAGACTTGCACGGGATTAAAAAACAAATTTATTATTTTTTTAACTTATGTCAGAAGTATCTAAAACTACTCTGAAATAGGAGATCTAAATAGACTTTGCATGCAGAACTAATTGGAGAGGCAATATACTGATGGACATTTTGTGTAACAGGAATTTCATAATACACAATGTAAACAATTACAGCATCATCCTTCTGCTTTTTATTTTACCCGGGAAACAATGCCCCTTTGTGCAAATGCTACCTTGCTTTCTGCCATGTGGATGCTCCCACATTATAGTCTTCAGAAAAACTCACACAGCAGCAACTCAGGCATTGACCCTTCCAGAATGGGAACTCTGTGTAAATTTATAATAATTAACTTCTATGTAACTGACTTAACCACAGATCTCAAAGCATTTCAAGGAAGGGACAATTATGAATACTGGGTGTTCACAGGTAAAATAAGAGCGTACTAATGGGTGAGCTTTAAAGAACCTTTGGCAAAAACTACAGCGTATTAGAATAATGACACAGAGCCTAATGAAGGACGTTATTAAAGGTTTACACCTGTTCACCACAAAAATAGGCCTCGTTTGATGGGCAGTGCATTGGCAAACCCCTTTCTGGCACTGCTCTTTGCCCTTATTTCCTTTATTCGCCTCCGGTGGTTCCCAGGGCACCCAAGACGCCCGGAGCAGACCGTGACCGATCAGCGGCTCCCGAGCGCGGCCGGCCCGCCCCGAGGGCCCCGCGGCCGCACCGCCGGCCCGGCCGGGCCCGCCCCGCCGCTCTCGCGAGAGCAGCGGCAGCGGGCGGGCTCTGCCGCCGGGGCGGCGCGGCCATGGAGTCGGGCATGGAGGAGCTGATGCCGCGGCTGCTGCCCGTGGGCGACTGTGACCTGGCCGAGGACTTCGACCCCACCGTGCCTCCCAGGACGCCCCAGGAGTATCTGAAGCGTGTCCAGTGAGTGGCGGCGCGGACGGGCCGGGGCCGGGCTCCGTGTCCGGGCGCGCCAGGGCGGCCGTGGGGAGCTGCCCTTCGCCGGCATAATCGGTGTTTTACACACCTGCAGGAGGGGCGGGTACCGATCTCTTCCCTCTCGTGACCGGCGACACGAGTCGAGGAAACGACATGGAGCCGTGTCAGGGGAGGTTTAGGCTGCATATCAGGAAAAGGTTTTTCACCCAGATGTGGTTGAGCATTGGAACAGGCTCCCCATGGCAGTGGTCACTCTGTCAGAACCAGGCATGACAGAGTTCGGGAAACATTTGGACAGCGCCTTGGAGCACAGGCTGTGATTTCTGGGCTGTCCTGGAGTTCGACTCAAGGTTCTTGGTTGGTCCTTCCATATTTTTATGAGTATTTCAAAGACATCCGGTATGTATCGACCTGTTACAGGAAAGAAAAAATGCAGCCCATTTGATTCTGTTTTGTAGGATTGAAGCAGCTCGATGTCCTGACGTGGTCGTGGCGCAAATAGATCCCAGAAAATTGAAAAGGAAGCCGACAGTAAACATTTCAGTAAGTTTGTGAGCTTTTACGTGTTTTGAGGGGGAAAAAAAAGGGGGAAGATGCTACTATAATGATGTTTGTATTAATTTGGGGGTGTCATTGGCATAACTAAATAGCACCACTAGATTCTAAAAGCGTCTACAGAATTAAATGTCTGTGTTTGAAGAAACCTCTGCTCAACTGCTGGGTAACAGCAGTCTTTCTAACAGATTAAATTTATAGTCCCCATACTATTCAGTATGCAACAGACTGTTTTACTGTCTGAGGAAATCAAATGTTGCATTAAATTTTACAATTATTTAATCATAAAACCTGCATACATTTTAGAAGAAAAATATATCCATATCTGTCTTTGGGTTTAAGTCTATATCTAGCATAACCATAGTAAGTACAGCTAAGCTTTACTAAAGTTAGATGAAATTCTAGCACCACTTCTTTCCTTTTGGGAAGAATATTTTATTGGAACTTTTCCTTACTTTTCCAACAGATCTGTTGAAGCAGATTTTTCCATTGTTGTATTGCCCTGCCAGCTTGGTTTTTAATCTATTTTCAAATAGTTTGCCTTTCTCCAAAGACAATGATGTAATCTGAAATTTCACTATTAGATTTCTCAGAGAAAGTTTCTAATACTGATCTGACCTTGTAACTTCTGTAGCCATTCTCTTCGTCTGTCTCATCTGTGTGTAGTGACATTCTTAAACACTTGAAGAAAGATTTTGTTTAATAACCCTTTCATGATAATCTTTAAAGAGGTTATATCTACCTAACTCTCAAACTTAATTTTCTAGATGGTTTTATGATCTTCTGTCTTCCTCAGCTTACTCTCTTGACAGGCAGAATGCCTAAGATTGATAGTATCTGTTGCAGATAAGGGAACAGTGTCCTGTTTTTTATGAGCAGGGAGATTAAAGCAGAACAATTGCTGAAAGGAAGACATTAAGTAATTCTTTGACAATATATTTTGAACACTTAGTTTTCCTCCTTATGTACATACAAGAAAAGTCAAACAAAAAAAATTTCTCTAAACCAAAATCTTAACTCAGCCTTGGATATGGTAATGAAATTACCTTTCTTGAAAGAAGATTTCAAGGATATTCTTTACCTGACAGTAAACATTTACTGATTCTCTTGTTCTTAAGGATTCTTCTTATAAAGCTCTCTTTACATTATAATTATTGCCAGTGTTTTCTCAGATTTCTGGATGTCAGCCTGCTCCTGAAGGATACTCTCCAACGCTCAAGTGGCAGCAGCAGCAAGTGGCCAATTTCTCAGCTGTTCGTCAGGTACAAGATAGTCTGTGAGGAGTCTTGCACTGGCTGGATAGAACATTTCTGTGCTTTACAGGGGATAACTTTATATCTAGTATAGAAGTGTTATGATTTTGAAGCAGGGTAGATGTTTATAGGCAAGCGTTTTAAGTTCTTGAAAGCTAATTGAGCATATGTGGCTTTTAAACCTCTGATAAAACTCTTGAGAGTCACATTTAAGAAATCCTCTTTAAACAAAAATATGTCCGTATTTAGGTTAAATGCTATGGTGTAGTTGAGGAAGGACAAAAACCCCTATAATGTTATGCAGTTATATTAAAACAGTGTTAGCAGGAAATGTTCAACATGAACTAAGAACCAAGTGGATTCTAACCCATCAGGAGATTCATAAAGTCCCTTCATACAGTCAGTTTAGGGACCTGTTGACAGAGATGGCAAGCCATTATGAGGAGACATACTGATTTGGTAAAACGTATTTGTAAGGTTGTACAGTTAGCACAGATTTTAATCTTTCCTGATACATTTGCACCCTGCTTGAAGTAACACAAGAAGAATAGAAAATTAAGCAGTCTCAAAGGGTAAAGGTTCTAAGTTCAGCTAAGCTTTACTAAAGTTTTAAACTGAAGGAGGGTTGATTTGGATTAGATATAAGGAAGATTTTTTTTTACAATGAGTGTGGTGAAACACTGGCACAGGTTGCCCAGAGAGGGATGGATGCCCCATCCCTGAAAACACTAAAGGTCAGATTGGATGGGGTTCTGAGCCTGATCTAGTTAAGATGTCCCTGACAATGGAAGAGGGGTTGGACTAGATGGCCTGTGAAGGTCCCTTCCAACCCAAATCTATGATTGTTCTATTCTCTATGCACAGTTCAAACAGAGTGAAATGGAAAATATAATAAAAATGTAGGTAGAGATCATTTGTGACTCCAGTGCTGCAAGACAGCACGTTTACTATGCATTGATGCTGCATTGTAGGAGTACCTCAGGTACTCCTGAGGTGTGACAGCCATGAGCTCGTCACTAGCACTGAACTCTGCAGGAGCTCATGTACCATGTCTTTTTCAGGGAGGAAAATTTAGTGAAGGAGATCTGTACTACTGCATCTACATGTAAACAGTAACTGAGCTACCCCTTTTTCTGTGAGGGATCATACTGCATCCTGTATATTAGACTTAGTCTAGGGTTTTAGCAGTACTAAGGAGACTGACATCTAAAGGCTTACTCACTGAATAGGTATTTCTTTTATGCTCAAATGCTTAATTGTCTTATCTTTGCCAGAATTAACACTGTAAAATATGAGACTATCCTAAAAAGTATTTAAAAAAGAGCATCAGAATTCACTTGTTCGACCACTGCATCAGCTGCTGTTACTTTGAGCATTTTTAGTGGTCTTTTATACAGCTACAGGAACAACCAGAGTGGGAGACAAATTCCTTCTGCTACAGAACATTTACAGCTCTCTACAAGTAACTGTTAAGCAGGCCAGTTTGTCTAGCCAGGTTGAAGAAATGTGCTAAGAAAGCACATTTGCCTTCTTTCATACACTTCTGTAGACCTCTGATAGAGATACAGCACTGTTAGGAAACAGGATATTGGCTTTATGTGTGCTTTTGGATTAAATCAAAGTGGGTTTTTTCTTAAGATTGTTCTAACAAGAAAAGTCTAGAAGACTGTTAAAGCTTACTACGTCAGCTTAACCTTATGTAATAGACTTCAAAATGCCTTCAGCTTTAACATTACTTCCAAAATCCCAGCATGAGATTCTTAATTACATTTCTGCTAAGACGCATGGGAATTATTTAGCCAGTTGTGCTGCCTGTATATCTACTGATTTATAGAAAGTCATAAAATATACTTTTCATACATTTGTGTCTAGGATAAAATATCTGCAGAGTTAAACTGGGATTTGACTTTGTTTTAATTACTCAGAGCCTGAACAAGCACAGGAATCACTGGCGGTCACAACGTTTGGACAGCAATGTTACTATGGTGAGTAGAATTCATAACACTGCTCTGTGGTTTGTTTTCCCAGTTACTGAATCCACAGTTAATCTTGCTTTATAGTTGCATGCAACAATTTAAGTCTTTTCTCCAGTGTCTTCAGGACACAGTATTACACAGTCTTCATTTATTTTTATTTACTTCAGCCAAAATCAGAAGATGAAGAAGGCTGGAAGAAGTTCTGCCTCGGGGAAAGAATATACTCAGAAATAGATGCACTATCTGATAATGAAAATTTAGGAATTGATTACTTGAAGGTGAGTATAGGACTTCCAGTTAGTTTTCAGCAGCTATTTTCTAGACTAACTACCAGAAACAATCATACTGTCTATTACTACTTTGTGCCAAATAGAAAGTAAGCTCTGGTGACCCCAGAAAGTCCCAGTGTACATTCTTTTATGCAGAAACCAAGTGAAGCAGGAATTAAGTCTCTGTTTTCAGTCAAAATTTGAAGACTTCCTTCATCTCTTACCAGCTAAAGTCATTACTTTGTTCTCACTGAACAGAATGGAAGCTTTCTTCATAGTCTGCTTTAGTTTTTTGTTGCATAGTGATATGTAGTTACTCTCCTCATATGTGATACCCTACAAATATATTCTTTACTATGTCATTTTGTCAAACCAAAACTTTAACAAGTAACAGTAGAAGCAAGGTGCTCTGATACTTACTGGACCTTCAACTTTCTTGAAGATACTTTTTTAATAAATTTCAAAGCTCAGAACAGACTTTCAAATTACTACCATTATCTGAACATCAAATTAAAATCTTAGTATGTTCTAAATTAGAACAAAGATGTTTGTGATAATGTTTGCATTTTCCAACTTGCTTTTTTCAGGTGGGCTTTCCCCCTTTGCTAAGTATTGTAAGCAGGATGAATCAGGTAAGCCTACCTCTTAGAATCACATAGTGACATTGCCTAAATCATTATTTCTCACGTTCTGTAGCAGAAGGCTTAACTATTTTTCTTTGCCTGGAGTAGGCATTTGTTTATTACAAATTCTATTAACTGTACACTCAGAAGGAATGTATTCATTATCTCACATTCAGTTACAAGTAACTTTACAAGCAAAGATTTTTCATTACTAGTTCTGAAAGTATTTTGTTATTGTAGTTTCTCTATAAGCACATATAATGTTTGAATTTTTGCTGAATACCCCAATAGTTGCTTTACAATGTTTTTAAATTTCTCAGTGTTATAAGTGCAGTTCTTCCATTTGATTGTGATTTTTGATGTACGTTGCAAGGCTAGAAGAATCACACTTATCTTTCCTTTACCACGTTTCCCACTTGCCACCATTACACACAACCAACCAGTCAGTGTGATGCTTCTTTCCTAATCTGTAGCTACTTACCCATAACTTTTCATTAACAATTAATTCATTTCATACAAATTTCTTTCCAAATGTGGTACTTTAGCACTTACTTTACCCTTACACGTAACTTCAAACTGGAATAAATACTGTGGAGTAGAAATACTTTTTATATAATAAATCCTTCAGGTAGAAGAGCAGCAAAACAAAACATTGCAGATACTATATTGTCTCTTTCTGTTCCTCTTTTGAAGGCAACAGTAACCAGTGTCTTAGAATACCTGATAAGCTGGTTTGGAGAGAAAAAATTTACTCCAGAACTGGTAATTTTTAATTTATTCTAACTACTTGCACATGAATGCATTAAACAAAGAATAAATTGTTTGCAGTTTTCTATTAAATTATTTTAATTTTCTAAAGAGTTCTTTAGATGGTTGTATCACATTGTTACTTTCAAAACTTTCTTGATTAGATACTAAAATGAGGATTCACATTTGTTTTAGGAAGGCTAAAATTACAAAACTTAATAGACACACATAAAAAGTACTACCCAAACTCCCTCTGTATCCCTCCCTTTGTATCACTCACCCCATAACTTCAGCCACAAGGCTTGTTGAGCATCAAGGTTTAGGAGAGGAGAAAGATCCCAGCAGCTTTGGTTCTGTCAGGGTGCTGCACATTCTTTACCAATACCTCCAGTTTAGTTTGGAGGCACATTACAGTGTGCTGGCAAAGACACATTTAATCTTTCTTCATTGAGCATGGACCAGAAGGCTTGGCTGCATTCATGTGGTGACAAATCAAACCTAAGGACTCCTGACTGACAGGCTACATTGCCATGGAGTTTGGCCACAACTAGATTGACCAGCAGTGTAAGGGCACCATATCTACAGAAGACTTTGGTGGATGCTTCTCATTCCTTCAGTACCACAAAGAAAAAGAGTAATGAAAAATGACATGATGCTTAGCATAGCTTCACTGGTTTTTTTCAATCACTTAAAGACCTTTCATGTTCTGTCCTTTCCTGTAGAAGACTGTTTTCTTTTTAGCCAGTATGTATGTGCAGAGAATGTGCACAATGACTTTTAGGTTAGGTCCCAAAATGAAGGCCACTAGACCCTGGGATTAAATTATGAAGTTAGACTGGTACCAGAAATTAGGTTTGTAAGAATGCAGTACAATTCAGAGATGTAAAACTCAAAGGACATCTTTTCACAGTGGTGCAAATCTTAAAGCAGATCTAACCACTAATTCCATAAAGATCTGAGTTCATGGATTCTGTCTTCAGGAATCTTTTTTTTCACAGATTGTGAAGTTAAAGTTTAATAGCCAAGTAATAGTTTAGATATTATTAAAATAATCCTTCTTTCAGACTATAATAGCATCAGCTGTAATAATTTATATCTTAGCCAGCATTAAAAAAATGCTAGGAAACCCAGGAGTAGGGCTCACAAGAATCTTATCTAGAGACACAGAACTCTCTACCATGTAGTGTCTAATGTGGTTTTGAAAATTTTATTATTGCATATAGCACTTCAATGCAGTTTTGAGACATACACTTCAGTCCTGCTCTATATAACATGAATTGCTTGAATCTTCAAGGAAATGCTTAGAATTAAAACTCTGTTATTTGAATCCTCACAGGGTAGATGGCTTTATGCACTGCTGGCATGCCTTGAAAAACCTCTGCTACCTGAAGCTCACTCCCTTATTCGACAGCTGGCGAGACGATGTTCAGAAGTCAGGGCACTGGAGGTAAGAGTTAATATAACTGTGCAGAGGACTTGGTGAATTTAGCAGGTAAGGAGGATCACTTTTCAGAAGTCCTAATAATTAATTTTTCATGTCTACAATTTGCTTGAGAATGTAGGGAAGACTACAAATACACATAGCATGGCTTGTGACAGGTTCTCTATTTGACACAGCTAACAAAAGAATTGCTGTAATATTTCTCTCTTTTCCAGGAGAGCAAGAATGAAGAACAAATATCAGCTCTGAACTTGATAATCTGCTTAGTTAGTAGGTAATGCAACTTAGACACCTCAACCAGTAATGTATGTCCAGCATAAATGCATGATTATTTGTACTAACCTAAATTCTTTTAAAAGTGAAAGTAAGTAAAAAAGTACCCTGGGCCAATGCAGCAAATATACTTAGCTGAAAGGATTTAAGATATACCTAAGAACAAAGTAAGCTTATTCCTGTCTTCAGATGAGCCCTTGAAGCCATAATTATGATAGAAACACTAAAAGATGAGCTAGAAAGCAATGAGTGGACAACTTGAAGTATGGTATATGTTGCCTTGGGGGTTTCTTACCATATTCCACTTCATTCCTAGGTACTTTGATCAACGTGACCTGGCTGACGAGCCTTCCTAGGCTGTTTTGAGAACATCCAGTATTTTGCATTGTCACAGTACAAAGAGCATTATCAGACTTAAAAGCAAGACACTGCACTGTTCAGACCTGGAGTATTACACACTCCCTTCAGAACACCCTCACACTAATGCATTTGGGACAGCTGTGAATAACTTCAGCTGAGTTTGTCAGTGTCTCCAATACCATCATCACCATCATTGTAAAGTGGTAACTGAAGTGTCCAGCATCATCTCTCAAGCTCCTGTCTTTGTAAACTACATTCTTGGTTAGAAATTTCTACAATCTGAGTAATCTATGGACACTGCTATTAGGTGAAGTCTGAGGTTACATTACAGATTATTATTCTTTTTCTAACAGACTTACTGAGGACTTTTTTAATAAAGTGAAAGGATTTTAAAGACTGTTCTTAAACATTGTGGGTTTTCTTACTCCACATTATTTAACAGCAGCCTTACTGTAGAAATCTAGAGTTAGGGCTGAATGTGTTTTTTCAAGTTTTGGTGCCTGAGCTCTAGCGCTGCTTAGCAGTTCAACTACAGCCAGCATGTTACTGAAACAATTGTTCCAGTAAAACATAAACATAACTACTTTTTGAGTAGTACATTACAGAAGTAAACTGTAGCTAGCAATTAAAAACAATTACATTAATATTGAATTTATACACAACAAGACAGAATAAATTTCCTTCTTTAGCCAGTATAGACAACCTTAGGTATAAAACATTCTGACACAAGGAACAGTTGCTAATTTAAAGGACAAGAGAAACTCTTGAACTATGCAAAAACAAGTTTTCTTCTACTGCCCCAAACTACAATCCTACAAAGGTCTCCACATAGTATCTTTAATGATGTGTGAGCTGTTAGCTCACGTGTTAGCAGGCTCCATCAAAGAAATACAAAAGCTGTCTTAAAAACAGAGCAGGGATGCCCATGTCTCGTGACTAGCCAAGTTTCTGAGCCACAGTGGTCCAAAGTCCAAACCCCACAGTGACAGGTTTGTATCACCCATTTTGCAGCTCTCATTGCAGGGCTGCCTCCCAGAGTGAATGGGGAAAGGTAGCACTTGGGCATTCAAGTTGGGCAACACAACACACATTCATTTCTTACTCAAATTTAGTCTTGGTCAGGATTTTTCTCTGTTCTCAAACTCTGTCTCTGGTCTTCCAGGCTCTTTTGGTAATTGAAAGGTTTTGCTGAATATATAGAGTACATGGCTTTTACCATGTATAAATTATTACTTTTGTATAGAATAAATTTCATACCAAGACACAAGCATAGTGTGTTAAGTTATTTCTATGAGCATTTATTATATATTTTGGAATTGTGCTGCACACTGCTATAATTTACATGTTATATACAAGAATGAGCCAAGACACTGAATCCACATACAAAGGCTTTTTAAAGTAGATACCCAGATTTGAATGTGCTCTACATCTTCTGTATCATCACCTGAAATTTACCTGCAGGAAAAGCAGAGTCAGATTACCATTAAATTATTTCTCCAAGTCATTATTTTCTTGTAAAATTTTTTTCAAAGAAATAGTAAGAAACATTTCATTCTTACAGTTTAATTGTAAGCAGTTGAGCCATTATTTAAATTTAGCATTAATTAATTGAGCCATTATTTAAATTTAGCATTTAAATTTTAATTCCACGCTGAACAGCTTCTCTCTTTTCTTTTTGTCTGTAAGTTGGCCGTGTCCCACACCACAGAAGTTTTGTCAGCTAAACCTAAAATTTGTGCTAAATCTGTGGAAACTTTTAATTGAGCAGCTTATGTAGTTACAATGGTCTTTACTTACTAACATCCTTAATGAGTCCTATAGAGAAAGAGCTTGTGCAAATAACCTTCTGGACACACATCCTTACACATTTGATGCTTCTAAATTTAAATACAACTTTTTAGTTTTACTTTTCACTCAACATCATGGAGGATTCTCCTCTACCAGTATTTTCTAAATACTAAAGGATATAGTAACAAGCCATATCCTGAAGTTCACATGGACTCCTATGGCCCAGCAGCTTCAAACAAATCCCACCTCGAAAAATGCTTATAACAGCAACACAAAGTCAGGAAAGTTACCAAGTGAGCTAATAATTGAATACTCCAAGTACTACTTACATGCAGGCATTGATGAAACTTCAGCTGTTACAATACTCTTTATTCCCAGATTTGATAGGCCTCCTCTGATTAGTCCACAGGTGAATGCTAAATACTGAATAAAAAGTTGCACTTCAAATGAGTGTCAACAGTGAAGCTTGTTGATAAAGACTGAAAACAAGTACTCAAGAACACAATACTTGGAGAACAGAAAACCATGGAGGTTTTGAGAGACTTTGTCAGGTCTCTAATAGATGAAAGCTCCAATATTTGGTAGAGTGGAGCTCACTACACAGATTGTTCTCATTATTTTGTATTTTTAGTCACCTTCTCTTTCCATTCAACCTGTAGGAACTTAATATCCTTAAAACAATTATTCCCAAGACTTGGCTGAAATTAGCAACTGGTACTGAAGTCAACAAAGGACATACAGTCCAAGACAGCATTCTTGTGCAGGTCATACCTTAGAATACAAACACGTGCAGATATTTAAAATGTGTGTTGCAAAATAGAAGAAACATTTCACCAAACACAAAAAAAAAATCCCAAGGACACAGCCAGTTGGGAGGACTAAGATCAAGAATTAAGAAACCATAAAATAGATCTGAAAGCCCCATTTTTTAATCCACCTGAGCCAAAGTGCTCTATGATAGGTTTTGCAGAGGGACTGATTTTACCTGAACCATTACCATAACTCAGCATCTGCACTCAAAACTATTTTTAATTGGTGGAAAATCTTTCTGAACATTCACATCACCTCAGAACCTTGTTATATGTAACAAATAGCATCTTCCACATGTGTTTTGGGAATTTTAAAGAAAGTTTCTGAAAACACATGTTTCCTGAAGAGAAAGAATCTGTGTGACAGTGGCAGGCAGTGGCAGACAAGCACTGGCACCATGAAGTAACTCAAATATAACAGCAGCAAGTTTCACAATAACCAAGACCATTTTCTGAACTATAAATCAAATCCACCCTTCTAAAACAGGGTGCCTTGCTAAGAAGCACACAGGTTCTGAAGGCAGATCTTTAGGTGCCCTTCAGAAGAGTTTGTACCCATTTAATTACAAAATGTAAAGTTATTAACAGATGAAGGTAATGGAAATGAAACTGGCAGACCTCCCCCACACAGAATCAAAGGGTACCTTTGGTGCATGTTCTAAATACTGCTTTCCTGCAGACATTTGTGTCAAGAGACGGAATTTATTGTCTTGAAGGACGTAAATACCCTGTTTAAAAAGAAAAATTGAGGGGTTTAGTTAAATGTGCAGTGATATCAAACCCACGTTTTCTGTGGATTTGATTTGTAGATAAAATATATATGATCTCAGGCTGAAAAATAAAATTGTAGATTAAGACATATGTGATTTAAGTTTAGATTGTATTATTTACTTACTTACTTTACTTAAGGAATATCAAAAGAAAATTTTGCTAATTGTGAGTATACAAAAAAAAAAACTTCTAGATAATAATATGATTTTACCCCTAAAAATGTTTATGTACATTTCTTCTAGAAAGTCTTTGGTAATATATCAAATGCATACTGATTTTTACATTCAAATATCCATCTTTACTGGGTTTTGCATATCTCTATTCTTATTCTCAAATTCAGTGGGAATTATTTTCTTAATAGCAATACAGGCAACTACACCCAGCAGACAATCAAAGTTAAAGTCCGATGTTTTCTACAATACAATTCAGTGCAACAATATGCATCTTAATAAATCAGGTATAAACACAGTATGGCTTTAGCTACACCTGCCATGTTAATTTCCTTGCTACTGACTGTGCTACTTCAGAATTTCCTAAGACTTGAACTTAAATTAAGGCTGCATATACAACTAAGACCCTTAAGCTCAATACTGCAGCTTTTTTGAATTTAAACCCCAGATTTCTAAAGTAATAATTATCTCTTATTACTTGATAAGTCACTGAAAAACATTTTATTTGGCACAATCGGAATACAAATTCTCTTCTTCCTAATTTGACACAACAGGGAAATGGCCATAAGGAAACCAAGTGATTCAATTAGGAAAACGATTGTTTACTCTAGTAAAATGGCTGCTTAAGTTATTTTGATCTGGCTTTAAGAACTGTGGCTGTTGATACAGGAAAGCACATGGATACAGCACAATGTCACCAACTTGCAAATCTGACAAGTTTCTCCACTGTTTCTTATACAGGTATTTTCAATAGATTACAACTGTCTCAACTGCTGAAAACTCTTAACATTCTTCAAACTAAAAAAAATTACTTCACTGCAGGTATTTTATTTAAATAGGTGTTTAGAGAATAACATCACTTTTTCACTATTTTTACTAACATTTATTAAGAGACAGATTAAAAAGTTCTTGTTTAAATGTTAATCAACTGTAATCATTACTGTTCTTTCTGTCACACTGCAACAGTGCTTATGAAATTCAAAGCATTTAGTCTTTTCAAACAGGGTGGCAATAAAAACATCATAGGCAATTTTTAAATTGTACTCTAAAGCTGCATGATAATATGAATATTGAAAAACAAGCTTTTTAAACAAAACAAATATGGAACATTTTGAGTTTCTTATCTGGTGATTAGTTTTAGACCAAGAAAAATAAAAAATGCACTAGCAACTCAAAACTCTCACCACCTTTCTAAGTTAAATCTAAATCTACAGCATTAGTACCTGGTGATTAGTCCTTAGGTTATCTATTTGTTTTTTGAATACCGTTGTCCAAAAGTCTTTGCAAATGAACTTCATAATATCTAATTCATCCTTGAATCTGGCAGTGTCTTTTGTAAACCTAAGAGAAAAGTGAGAAATATATCAATAATCATGGCACACATAACCTGACCAATTAAACATAGAAGTATTTTTAATGGTACTATACAGCAACATTTTTGAGGCTATTATAGAAATTAGTTTTCCAACCATTGCACAGTATCATTGTAGCCTCACTGTCCATTCATCAAGTATTTTAATTTAAGAGCAACACAGTGTTATCTTAATATCTGCAATATGATAGCACAATAAATTGTTTTAATTCCATGATTATCAAACATAGTTGACATACAGAAAGGTGGAAAGTGCTCCATCAGTTTTATCTTCAAAACAGTAACTAAATAGAAGATAAATATAATGCTCACATCTATACCACTTCTTGAAAGGTAGAAGTAGGTAATTCTTCCTTCAACTAGGCAAAAGAGCTCTAACATTGGCCCAAGTACATAAAACTTGTTCCCATTTCTCAGAAGGAACGTCTTTCTCTTGCTTATTTCAGATCCTCACTGAGGGTCTTTATCTGGCACTAAAGGCCCACTTTATTCAACAA